CTCATTCTTACATTACAATTTCAATTGAAACGGAACAAAACTATGATGTATATGAATTGAAATTCATGAATTGATGCCTGGAAGAAACTCTGTTTGCACTTGACATTAAGCCGCCAAAATTTAAACCACGAAATGAACAATACTACAAAATATTATCCCATGTTCACATACTATTATGTTTCCTCTCACTAATGATAGCGTAGTAGTCTACACTGTGTCTTCACGTATTCGAAAAAAAAAGTTTAAATTTTCTTTTCTTTCATATTGATTTGTTGAGAACATGCATTCATGTGTAAATAAACAGAATGAGATTGGTCTATACTATTCTAGTTAATAGTTCCATCTACATTACAAGAGCATGTAATTAAACAAAATAAAATATTTAGAGTGGTAAATAGATTGTACTAGCCGTCCCGGCCAGGCCCTGCTCTGGCTTCTGGGAAAAACCTTTCTGTTAAAGACCATTACCTGTGTGTTTAGTAATCATCATAAACCCGGCATTGCCCACCCAAACCACAACCAACCAAAACAACAAAACGCAAACATAACGCTAACACAATTACAAATACAAACGAAAACAAAAACCTAACAACAAACCCAACCACAACCACAAACACCAATACAAACACAAAGAAAAAACAAACAAAAAAGCAAACGAAAACAAAAACCTAACAACAAACCCAACCACAAACACCAATACCAACACAAAAAAAACAACGAAAAAGCAAACGAAAACAAACCAAATCCAAACGCAAAACCAACCAAAAACACAAATACAAACCCAAACAAAAAAACACAAACAAAAACGAAAAAAGAAAGAACAAAAACGAACCAAATCAAAACGCAACCACTAACGCAAACCAACCTAAACACAAAGAAAACACTAACGCGAACATAAACGCCCGGGGCGGAATCACCTGTTTTAGCTTAATGAACGACTATAGTACCCCAACTTATTCACAGTCTTTTGCACTCACTTAAACGAACGCGCCTGTTTCAATTTAATGAACAATTTTAATACTCCAAGCTTATCCGTAAAATACCTACAACATTTGCACTTGATCAATCCCCGCTAATTATGTAAATATTTTTTTTACCCAACACCAAAACAAAGTAATTAAAAAGTAAATAGTTTTCCACAAAATGCAATGGTTTTATAAAGGGAAGTAATTGTGTTTTCCTAATTTATCAAAGGGAAGTAAGTGCTATAGGACTAAATAAAGACATGATTAGAATTGTTGTAAAAGATGATATTTTTTTAAAACTTGTGTTAAATGAGCATGCCGACAATTATTACTGTAATTTGAAAAATGAAAATGATTTCCCAACACTTTCAATAGTAATTTTTTAGCTCATAAATTTAGACAAATGCGCACGCTAATTGTCTAACACTTAAATCCATCCAAGACCATCGACAAACATATGCGTTACATACAGAACTGAGCTTTATATATTAGATTATTTGTAAGGCAGGGGTCGGCAACCTGCGGCTTGCGAGCCGCATGCGGCTCTTTTGATGTCTAGGTGCGGCTCTTCAGCTCCATGCACAAATATTACTCCTAAAAATATTAGTCTGCAACACTCGGTAATGAACGATATAATAATCAATATAAACATTAAACACTCGCTATTCTATTTGCGAATTTGACCTTTAATTTTGCAAATATCTCCCCATGAGTATTCTCAACAGCTTCCTAAAGTTTAATGGCGATCCGATGATGAAAGGTATAGTAATGAATAAAAGACAAACAGACACACACACATCTACATACTACAGACATTGATATATATATATATATATATATATATATATATATATATATATATATATATATATATATATATAAACCTAATCCTAATCAAAGATCATAATATTAAAATAAAAATGTTAGTGGCTCTTTAAAAGCTTGGAAATTTTGGAAATTGTAACTTTTGGCTCTTCTGTCTGAAAAGGTTGCCGACCCCTGTTGTAAGGGAAATAACTCAAAAATAATTACGCTTGTTGCAAATATTTTTACCACAAGGACGTTTTACATAGGTACAAATGATCTTTTAATCTAAATGTCCAAATTGTAACAGGGTAATTAATATGAAAATTCATCGATTTAATGATTTTCTTATTTTATTAAACCTCTATATTTAAATTGAACAAAATTATTAGATTGTTAACAGTATTCATTAATTCAACACTGTTTGTATAATAGCTACAAAGCTAATAACACATTACTACTACCACAAGGTCCCGTGTTTATATATATTAAACCAAATGTTTCTATTTTTTTTTTTTAAAAAAAGAAAAAAAAATTAAATAAAAAGAAAAAAAAAGTTTCTATTTTTAAATATACATTTAAATAAATATAAACATATATATATATATATATATATATATATATATATATATATATATATATATATATATATATATATATATATATATATATATATATATATATATATATATATATATATATATATATGTGTGTGTGTGTGTGTGTGTAAAACATTGGTTAAGAGAGAGCGAGGGAAAAAATAAAACAAGGGAAATAAATTTAGATTTTATCTTACAAAATACACTGACATCGAGTTAAAAGAATTATTTCAAGTAAATCTAAGACATAGACTGGGAACATGCAATTAACAAAAAAAAATGTATAGGAAGTATAGGAAAACAATAAATAAATTATTAATTTTAATTAAAATAGTCTCAAACCAAACATCACTCGCTCAGCCCTCGAGTAAATTAACATTAAAACAGAGTTCTGTTTCCCATGTTTTAATAGGATACAATCTGAATGGTAGATAGAGATAAACACCTCCCCCCCCCCCACACACACACACACACTTCCCCTCAGCCAACCGGACTGGTGGATATATCAAGGGCAGCGTGCCCTCATCGTCAGGGTTCAAATTTGTGTCGTGGAAAATTTTGAAATGATAGATCAGTATGAGAATTACAGAGACCCTTCTCGTTTCTATTTCTGTCCATTGGTGACTACAATGCGAACTTTAGACTTTGTAGCTGAGGATGGAACACAGTAAACTAAGCAGTCAAGAGAAACCTAGTTTGCATACCTTATTTTAGTCTAGTTCTTATGCCATATTTTTTTCTCCATTTAATTACTGTATATACAATTGATGTTCCTGTCTTTCAAGCTGTGTAAAATCAAATAAATTATTATTACTATTTTAAATGTTAAAATCAAATAAATTTTAAAAAATAAATAAAAAACGAAACAAAAAAAAACGGTTTGAAAGGGAAGAATGTTTGATATGATGTGTCTCATTGTAATCAGCATAACTTTTCCAGTTGCTTAAAATTTGTATCATTTTAATTCTCTGTAATCCCAAATTTACTTCAGCTCTACTTAAAAGCCCAACCACCCCCCACCCATCAGCCCACTATGCCGATGGAAAAAAATCCCTTGAATCATCATTTAATTGCACAATTGCATTTTCAGGTTGTTTTTTTTTAAAATAAAATTGTAATTAGACATTTTGTATTAGATCTATGTATGAGTAAACCATCTTAAATGAATAAAAGTAGGCTACAAGTAAGAAAGAAGTAAAAATATGTAAGTCCTTACAAGCCGATGATGAAAACTGTAATAAATTAGAAACAAAGCGATGGTTCTAAAAATAGGGGGGGGGGAGTTCTAACAGAGTTTGTCCACAAGAGAAAGACAGAGAATGCTGGATCCAACTTGCTTAGTCACCAGACTGAGGCTCGCAGACAGAAGGTTACGGAAGCTCGTCTTAGACTTGAGGGTCGCTGTGACCAGAAGAAGGAAGAGCTGTTGAAAAACATTGATGATATAACTGAATCGCATATCTCATAATATTTTACTTGGCTTGCATGTGTTTTTTTTTCCTTTTTCTTTCTTAATTTAGAGTAGGAGAGTATTCCCTTAAACACAAACACGTATTACCTATCACTTGTTATGCACCGTTGACTCCGATTTTTCAGCCTTTTTTAAAAAGGATTTGCTTCCACAGCCCTTGTCAAACCAAGAACAAACTATAGAGCAGCAGTTGTTTTTTCTTTAATTTAAAGTTGTCTCTCCTAGAAGAGTTGCTGTCCCCAGCAGCCCCTAGTTTTCTAACTCGAGACTTTTTGGTTTAAAAACCACGAGCCGACCCGCGGCAAATCATACGCCGCTATTTAGTTGTTTTATTTTCTACTTTTCAGTAATTCATTATTTGTGAATTCGAAAGTACCATCGCTGCCACTGAAAATATTTGCTTTAAAACACTATCAGTAGCTCGTTAAGGACGATAACCCCCCCCCCCAACACTCCTTTCCCCCAACCCATACCCTACCCCCCCTTGTGAAAGCAGCATCCTCTTAGTTACCTCCCCTAAGTTTAAAATCGTTTCAAACTAAATTATCTGCCCCTAATAGCCGTCACTAAACCCGGCTCTACGATTGTAAACATTTAGCGTGAACAACAGCTCACCAGACTATGTGGGGGTGGGGGTGGTAGGGATATGCTTAGAGAGGAAGAGAGGGGGCTGCTAGGCGCGCTTACAGCTTGGTGTTTTCTAGGGTATCCAAGAAGAGAATTATATATATATATAGATGAGCTTTATCTACTCGACTACGCCAACCTTTGCACGTGTGTGTTCATCATCATCATTCCTTTGTGGCCCCTGGTGACAGTGGCGTAGCCAGGATCGTCTCAGGGGGGGTCCCATTTTTACCCGGGGACAAAATTTCGATTTGCACCCCCCCCCCTCAAACATTCTATTTGCACCCCTCCCCTTCAAACTTTTTATATATATACCGAGGGGTCTATGGGGGTTATGACCCCCCTAGCCCCCCCCCTGCCTACGCCACTGTCTGGGGAGCAAAGGGCTGCAACTACACATTTCCAGCGGACTCGGTTTTGGGCTGCTCCTTTAATCTATGCCCACGTACGTATTACACTCACGTTTACTTCTTCCCTTCCAGTTTTGCCATCTTCAGACGACGGCGGTGTGGTCTACCCCAGTAACATCCACGACATCTTCTCCTACCCACAGCAACACAACTCGACCACAGGACGGCTGATAAACGAGGTACTTCGTCTCACCCTATTTCCTCGAAGGGGGTTTGATTTCGTAAGACAGTAGCGTAGCGAGGTCGGGTGTCACACACGGTGCGGCACTTAATGGTGTCACCCCCAGAGGCGTAGCGACCCTTCCCGAGGACAAACTTTCAAGTTTTCGATTTGCACCATCCCCCCCCCCCTCAAACTTTCGATTTGCACCCCCCCCCTTAAGTTTTTCTCTATATATTTTGCTTTTTTTTTGCCTTGGTGTCACCCCCCTAAATGGTGTCACCCGGTGCGGTCCGCACCCCCCCCCCCCCCTTCGCTACGCCCCTGTCGTAAGAGGACTAATAAATAAGAAATAAATAAATAATTTTCTAAATTTCTAATCCCACATAGCTTTAGACAATGTTTTAGGGTGTGTGATACATGAGGTACGATTTCTTTTCTTAGCTGACATTATTTAATTAGGGGGTCGTCCATAAATGACGTCACACTCGTAGGGGGGAGGGGGGTTCCGTAATTTTGTGACGGTGTGTGATGAGGGGGGAGGGATCAGATGGTGCGTCGTCACACTTTTGCATTATATAAAAGCAATGTTAGACAACCTTCTTCTTCTTCATCTTCGTTCTTAATTTTTGAATATGGTGGAGGATTCAGACAACAAGTCCAACTTCGTGGACAAACCGGACGTTTTAGACGTTATTTCGCGTTTTAGAAAACTGTTTTAATAAACTGCAATATGAATTGATTAAAATACTCTATGTTGGCAGAGTTCAGACAAGATTTTGGAAAAATATCGATGTTTTAAGAACAATTCACCTGCGATTTTGAGGGGGGCTGTAGGCTGAGGTGTGACGTCATTTTAGGGGGGGGGGGCTCCGGCTTTTTGTGGCGTTGTGTGACGGGGGGAGAAGGGGGGGGGGATCGTCAAAAAAGCGTGACGTCATTTACGGATGACCCCTTATATAATGTTACACGTACGATTTCATACATTTACTATTTGCAGGAGCTTTGTTTAGAATGAAAACTTTCAGACGCATCACTCAAAGGGAGAGAAGCCTAAACAATTCGTCAAGAAAAAAAAAATCAAACATTCACAATTCTAATTCTCACAGTGTACCGTTGAATTCCACTTTTATAATGCAACATATAATTGTTGCTGATGCATTAAACAAAAATGTTTTAAAATGTTTCAAATATTTTCGTTTTCCTTTTTTTACTTCTGTTACAAACACCTTTTTAAAAACCCTAGCTGAAACATATAAAAGTGGAATTTAAAAAACAATTATATTCCAGTTCGTTAAGGCTTGTTTGCACAGTTATAAACAAGTTCTAATGGTTGCGTACGAGTTAAAATATTTATTGATCACAACAAAAAAAAAAAAAAAAATAAAATAAACAAGTTCTAAAGAAATATATTTTGTTTTCATTTTGTAATTGATATACTAGATATTAAATCATCAAACATATTAGTAATACGTGTCGACATTTCATGCGCACAATTTCCCGTTGACTCCAATTTCAGCCAAACTATCATTCTGGATTTTTAATGTTACCCTTTACTAACCCAAGAACAATTTTGGAGTTTCGTTTTCTAAATGTTTTACTGTCGCCAGCTGTCATACCGAGATCCGAACTCGGGACTGTTAGAGTAAACACATTTACGCTCTATAGCATAACCACGCCGACACCCAACCAAGTTAATAGAATTAGCGAAAACCGAAACTCAATAGTGTTTTCCCGGTCATTCAAATAATAATTTTAGCTTGAATTCACGAAGTCAAAAAATGTACGATACACGTGAGTCAAGAGAGTGTGACGCCATAAATTTCAACTTGACAACGTGACCGTTGGTACGGATACAACCGTCTGGATGTACCCAATACACAACGACCGGCAGCAGTAGGATAAATGTACCTATGCGCATATGCTATGCGTGAAAACGCGACAGTCGTCGTTAAGGGTTTAAACTCATTAGAACAACTTTAAATCTGATCAAGTTTGATTTTCTGCATATATATTTTAGACAATGATTGTAAACATTTGTCCTCAACAGACCTCATCTATGCTGAGGATCCAGACTGACCCCCCAAGCGGCGAGACCGCCCTCTCTCACATTCTCGCTCCTGCCTTCTCTTCTCTAGCCCTCGTCATCGTTGTGGTGGTGATCAGTTTGCTGTATCGTCGTCGTTATATTAACAAGCAGGTGTACGCTAAACGAAGCGAGGATAGCAATATCAGGTGGGTTAGGGTTAGTGGGTGGTTATGTGGTTTATGTCAGAGGCAATGCAGGTGTACGCTAAACGAAGCGAGGATAGCAATATCAGGTGGGTTAGGGTTAGTGGGTGGTTATGTGGTTTATGTCAGAGGCAATGCAGGTGTACGCTAAACGAAGCGAGGATAGCAATATCAGGTGGGTTAGGGTTAGTGGGTGGTTATGTGGTTATGTATCAGGTGGGTTAGGGTTAGTGGGTGGTTATGTGGTTTTGTCAGAGGCAATGCAGGTGTACGCTAAACGAAGCGAGGATAGCAATATCAGGTGGGTTAGGGTTAGTGGGTGGTTATGTGGTTATGTATCAGGTGGGTTAGGGTTAGTGGGTGGTTATGTGGTTTTGTCAGAGGCAATGCAGGTGTACGCTAAACGAAGCGAGGATAGCAATATCAGGTGGGTTAGGGTTAGTGGGTGGTTATGTGGTTTATGTCAGAGGGAAGTGATGTCTTAACAAGCGGGTGTACGCTCAACGAAGCGAGGATAGCAATATCAGGTGGGTTAGGGTTAGTGGGTGGTTATGTGGTTTATGTCAGAGGGAAGGCAGGTGTACGCTAAACGAAGCGAGGATAGCAATATCAGGTGGGTTAGGGTTAGTGGGTGGTTATGTGGTTTATGTCAGAGGGAAGGCAGGTGTACGCTAAACGAAGCGAGGATAGCAATATCAGGTGGGTTAGGGTTAGTGGGTGGTTATGTGGTTATGTATCAGGTGGGTTAGGGTTAGTGGGTGGTTATGTGGTTTTGTCAGAGGCAATGCAGGTGTACGCTAAACGAAGCGAGGATAGCAATATCAGGTGGGTTAGGGTTAGTGGGTGGTTATGTGGTTTATGTCAGAGGGAAGTGATGTCTTAACAAGCGGGTGTACGCTCAACGAAGCGAGGATAGCAATATCAGGTGGGTTAGGGTTAGTGGGTGGTTATGTGGTTTATGTCAGAGGGAAGGCAGGTGTACGCTAAACGAAGCGAGGATAGCAATATCAGGTGGGTTAGGGTTAGTGGGTGGTTATGTGGTTTATGTCAGAGGGAAGGCAGGTGTACGCTAAACGAAGCGAGGATAGCAATATCAGGTGGGTTAGGGTTAGTGGGTGGTTATGTGGTTTATGTCAGAGAGAAGGGGGGGGGTCTGGTTAATGGTGTGACGTGGTGTTGGATGTGTAAAATGCCACTATACACACCACTCATGGAAAAACTATATGGGGGCACCTGCAGATCTGGAGACCACAGTCCAGAAGTTGGATTGGTTTATTTCCTCCACCATAAACTAAATTAAGAACGAAGAAGAAGAAGAAGAATGTGTGTGTGTGGGGGGGGGGGGTGGGGTTGGGGATAGTAAAGTTTATCTTGGCGTTCTAGTGATCAATATATCAGATGAAGTAGAATTCAATTGTTTCTAAACTACCGCTTATGAAGGGATGGTGTTGTCAGTTATATGCCCAGCGTTATTTAATTTCCCCAACTTATTCAAGAACCCATCAGAGATGTGTTGGCTTAGGGACGTATTTTAGTCACTGGTCAGGACAGAGATTCGAACTCAATATATTTTGACTAGCAGCCCCAGTGCTCTACTACATGACCATGCCATTCCATGAGTTAACTTTGAGATAGGATTGGAATAAGTAATGTGAATGGAAGTATAATATGTGTATATTCATTTATGTGTCTGCTCGCTAAAGTAGTAACGTGTGTATGTAAGCCTACATCGGAAGATACGATACAGGAAAACTGGTGTAAGTGTATTTGCACGCGTGTGTACTTTTAAAGTAAGCAAAAACATTAGGATTTAGCTTAAGTGCAACATTAATAGTGGGAAGGCAAATGAGGTGGGTGGGGTATAAACTGTGGTGAGAGTATTCCTAATTTTTTTAGTTTTAATTAATTAGCTTCTATATTAAAAAAAAAATACATTTTGGAAAGAAGTAATTAACATTCAAGTAGGGCCTATATTTCAAATGTTAAATGTGAAATTGTTAAAAAATAACTTAACAGTCTGTAATTCGTTTATTTTATGTTTAATGCGTTTGCAATTAGATTAGCCGCCAAAAACGCTATTCTCGTTTAAATTAAATCGTTCCATTAAAAACAAGGCAAATATTTTTATAAGTAATTTCAGAAATGTAATGAAAGTGTACTTTTAAACATACAAATACATTTATATCCAGTATCTTTAAGTAACTGTGTCATTTTAAGAACAAAAATTATACTAAAGTTTTCTTTTTCCTAAATATGGTATACAATTAAATACAACTAAACTAATTTTGTCATTTGTTCTGAAGTTACATTTAGTATAATTCCCCTTTTAGACCTAAAGATTCACAAGGCAGATGAAGTAGAGTTTATTTGTTTCTTTTTACTTTGGTACATGAAGGTTTGGTGTGGTCAGCACTATGCCCAGCCGCCTTTACTTTCCCTAACGTAAGTCAGGTACTTATCAGAACTGGGTGGACTCAAGAACTTCATGCCGACTCACCTCCGGAAGAAATCCGAACTCGAGACTTTCAGGTTATAGAATGGCTATATCATATTTGCATTTAAGAAAGCATTGATAACTTTTTTTAAGCGAGTTTGCTAGAGATGTTTATATGGCAAATTAAAAGATGTGGTTTAAGTTTTAAATAATTAGTGTGCTAAGGTTTCATTTGGTTTTGTAGTTGTTGTATTTTGATTTAGCATATACGTATATAGAACAGTCATCTATTAAAAAATCCTAATAAAAAGATTGTATCCGTTTTACCTTATGTTAGTTATATTATCTAATAATGTACTATTGATTATCAAAAATAGAAATGTAAATAGTATCTGTCTTTTCCGGTCTGGGCTATAAATAGAAACAACGATGGCGCCCTGCTACTAGACCGGATGAACAATATCAACAAAAACCCGACCTATTTTTATCCTAACGGGGTCGTGAACCGGAGGAACAATGTCAAGGAGGTTTCGGCTGAGAATATCAAGCTGATGGAGGTGGTGGGGGAGGGTGCTTTTGGACAGGTGTTCAGAGGTAGGTTCACGGTGACCAAAATATAATATATATTTCCATCATTCATTTTCAGACATGTTTTGCTAGTATATTAGCTAGTGTGTGTGTGTGAGTGTGTGCTCTTGTGTGCATTTGTGTGTGTGTATTTTGAAATTAGAATTAGCTTATTGCGGCGTGTTAGCGTTTTGGTTTTATAAGGATTTAGATAACCTGAACACAAGCAATATTCCATGGTTCGTAGAAAATAGAATTAATCCGGTTTTCTGACAACGGTACATGATATGATTGTGTCTGTGCTTTCCGCCAATCAAATAAAAATCACAGGCAACATGATAGGTTAGGTTTGTATAAGGCTGGCTTACTAATCAAAGACGTATCATCAGTAAAACGATAGGTTAGGTAACAGTGTAAAAGTTTAGCGCTCTTGGTTGGAATTGTTAGGTAGAGCAAGGGAACTGGGCTTCGTTTAAAACAGTGGTTCTAAACCTGGTTTCCATCGAACCCCAGGGGTTCGGTGAGTCAGTCACATGGGTTTGGGTGAAGTTCAGACAAGCACCCGATACATATGATTCTCGATCGGATTTTGTCAGTGCTGACGATAGAACTATTATGAAGGTTTCGATGGATACGTATACGAAATTGGTGGGGCTCGGTACCCCCCTCCCCAAACAAGTTAAGAACCAGTGGCACCGCTAAGCCGTCGAAATCTTGCATTTTTTTGTCTTGGTGTAGTCACCCTAAATGGTGTCAACCGGTGCGGTCCACACCCCGCCCCCGCCTCGCGACGCCTCTGTTAAGAACCACTGGTTTAAAATGTTATGTTTAGTATTAAATCTTGCAAGGTCTAGAAATATTTTCAAATTACATTTGTAAATTATTTTAAATGAATTATCTTATAATTAAGAATACATTTTAGAAATTGCTTTCAAAGTGGTTATTTTATTTTATTATTTATTTATTTTTTTTTGTTCTCATCGAAAATCACACCAGATAATAAGTATTAATAGCACATGTCACGTGATATTTGGAATATGTTTTCTTTGTTGAAGATTTTATTTGAGTCGTTATATGTTTAATGAACCTTGAACATGCTCTGAATAATTGACCTAATATATTCTAACATATAAAAGTTAACATTTGAAGTTATCAATATTTGCTTTCAAAAATGGATATGTATGAACTGTAACAAATGTTGTTCAAAGAAAGGAAATATTTGAACGTTGACAAAGTGCAAATACAAACATTATAAACCAGCATAAAACTTTGTAATGATGACCACATAAAACAAATATCCACATATACCAATAACTCTATTGTATCTTTGATACACTGACATGTTACCCGCCATTTGCACTATACATTACTTTTATCATCAAAACATACACAATTTCACGGTCAGTTAAAATAGCTTGTCTCTCTTGTTGGGGTCTAGGTGCATGTTCATATTACGAATACAATTGTCTTTTGATTAAGATAACAATTCTATGCTAAAACACGCGACATTGCTAACAAGCTATATTATAAGTGCTTCTGATGTAATACGAACAGAGAAATCTATGAGGAGGAGAAGAAAGAAAGGTTTACACTTTCGGGTTATTAAAAGTGAATAAAAAATCGTTGTTCATTCAGATCCCAATATAACTGCCACATTACCTCCGTTCCCTTTCACTTAGGTTTTATTTTTTATTTTTTTTTTTCATTTTACATCTCATTCTTTCTTTCATTCACTCTCAAAGGATTGCTCGCACTTTTCCTCCATCTTTCATTGTTCACCCCCCCCCCTCACCCCCTTATAGTCTCTGCTGCGTTGTTAAAGTGAAAATAAAACAAAAGAATGCCCCGTTTGAAATCCTTGTTCTATTAAATAACATAATCAATTGCTAATTATTGTCCTTGATAATAATTAGTGTCCTCCTTTGTATAGAGGCGTTGTCCATTAAGACGATCAATTTTAACACAACACCTGCAATGTGTTGTAGATGATGCCTCAGGTGACCTCCTTGCTTCAAAATACTCGACCTTCTGTCACTGATATAATACAACGACTATGTTCTGTTATAAAAAATGTATTCTTTCGAAACGAACACCTATGGGATAGTAAAGTACAGCTCATCTGGTTTTGTGAAATCGGTGTATGAAGGGATAGTATGGTCAGCACTATGCTCAGCCGCTTTTTCTGACCCTTACGTAAACATGTGTACTTATCAGAGCTGGATTAGGGATCGGCGTGGTCGAGTGCTGCCTTGTAGTTTGTTCTTGGTATGGAAGCAAATCCAAAAAGAAAAGCAGTCTGAAATCGGAGTCAATGGCCTCAATGGCACTTAACCAGTTGACACGTATCCTTAATTGTGATGGGGGCGTGGTCGAGTCGGCAAAAGTTCATACTTGATCAATTCGACAAATTCTCGAGTTCAAACCCTCTGGCAGATAAGGCTCGATCCCTTCCAGCACTAAAATTAAGAACGAAGAAGAAGAACAAGAAGAAGTGCTGGATTGACTGAGGAACGTCTTACAAACTTGTGCCTAAGATCCGTACTAGAGATTTTTTCGGGTAATAATGTCGTCCAACCACCACATTTAATAACCAGAAGGAACTATAACAGAGTAATTATAATTCAAAACTTTTTTTTTAAGAATGCAACTCGGAAATCCTTAAAATAAATCTGCAACAAATATGTCGCCTGTTCATGTATTTCGCATCGCGTTGGAACTACACAATTCTTGATGGAGGACATTTTTTTTTAAATAGAACTAATTAACTACAACATCAATGTAATTACGCGCCATGCTAATGAAGCAAACTCGAGCCCTGCATTGTGTTTATTGAGGCATCTCTAGGTTTTCACCGAGGTCTTGATTTGATATTGTAATTACGTTAAGGGTCTGCTAATGGCACTTTTACTTGGTTTCCTTCCCAGGTCATTTGGTGACCCCAGACTCTGAGACTCATATCCAGGTGGCGGTCAAGGTCATCAAAGATGGAACCACTCACGAGGTACTCTTAGGAAATGTTAAAATGCACTTTATAAAAAACATGTGTTAAAATAGTTTAATTTAAAAAAAAGTCTGAAGGAAGTTTTGGTCAAAACATAACACGGACCATACGTCTGGAACTTAATGACAATTTGTAATTACAGTAGAGTTACATGACTAAAAACCGTGCGCACCTATTGAACGTGATGACGCGCTTTTACCGTAATGACACGTGTGGATAGAAGGGCCTACTAATTTGGTCAAAATTTTAATTAATTTATAAAAACATAATCAGGCGACCAATTAAGTCAAATTGAATGTCATGATGCATTGTCTTCATGTCTTGACCCACGTACCGATTACGAACCATATTTGTTAGTTAGTTAGAAGTGCCTGCAATTTCGCTCGAGCGTTTCGATCTAGACAGACAGACAGAGGAAGTGAGTTAAATAAAAGCTTGTAATAAAACAGATAGTGTTTGTTACCTCACAAGTTAAAGACAGTTACGAATACTATGGACGTTTCGACCCCAGGTCTTCGTCGGCACACAACAGTGAGGTTACAGATTAGACAAATAAAAACAAACAGTAACACAATTTTGGACTTAGCTCGACAGTGAAAACACGTCTTGTCTAAATGCCCCGATATCCAAAAGAAAAGACGCGTGAAAAAAGACGCTTGGACACAGTATAGGGGCGAGGTTGGGGGCGTGGTGTATGGGGAAGGGGGGTTTGTTAGGTGAAATATAACTGTTATTTCAAATCATCTGGTGCCCGTGTGCCAAATTTAAGTATAAGTCGCGTTTCAGCGTTTAGGCGGTTTTTTTTAATACGAGCCGACCCGCGGCGTAACACACGCCACTATTTAGTTTTATTTTCTACTTTTCAGTAATTCATAATTTGTGAATTCGACAGTACCATTGCTGTCACTGAAAAAATTTGCTTTAAAACACTAAAACCCTCCTTCCCCCAACCCCCCCCCCCCCCCCACCCCGTGAAAGCAGCCTCCTCTTAGTTACCCCCCCTAAGTTTAAAATAGTTTCAAACTTAATTATCTGCCGCTAATAGGCGTCACTAAACCCGGCTCTACGGTTGTAAACATTTAGCGTGAACAACAGCTCACCAGACCATGTGGGGTGAGGGTGGTTGCGATATGCCTAGAGAGGAAGAGAGGGGACTGCTAGGCGCGCTTACAGCTTGTTTTCTAACGTCTCCAAGAAGAGTATATATATATAGAAGATAGGCAGAAGACATTGGGTCGAAACGTCCATAGTATGTGTAACTGTCTTTAACTTGTTAGGTAACTAACATTATCTGTTTTATTACTAATAGAATTAACCTAACTGCAGCTACCCTTTGTATTGAACTTTATGACTGCATTTAACGCCACAGGTGGTAACGGTAGATTTAATAGCAGGTAATGAAGTTTTTCCAGCGTGCGGATATTACGTAAAGTCGTTAGGCCTTACTTAATTGGCAAACTGATTTTAATTTAGCTATTATTTGGTAATTTGGTTAAGTGGCGTTCTGATGTGTGAGTGTGTGTGTCGAAAAGTGGTATTGATGCTGGTACACGACTGTAATTAAAAACGTTCGTGCTATTTCTGACCGTATGAACTTCAGGGCATATGAAGTAGAGTTCACATTTAGCTTGAGCTTGACATAAGATGAGATTGTGTGGTCAGAACAATGCCCCCGCCGCCTTCTACTTTTATTAACGTGAGCCAGGTACACATGACAGCTGGGACAAAATTGAGTCACCAGTCCGGGCCAGGACCCGATCTCGAGACAGCTGGACTTGCAGTGGAGAGCTCTATCACTCGACCACATCATTCCAACTAGCGATAATTGTAGGATCATTTGAGATTAATTGATTGTATGGTGTTTGTGATAAAAATGTTTAAATATACGTTGTCGGCTCTCTGTAGTTATACTCATGCTCCGATAGTTTAGTGATATGATAGGCTAAAAAAGTTGATACTTGTGAGGTCGACTTCTATAACTATAGGGCGTTCTGATTGTTTATTGATTGCTTGAGTAACTCAAATTTATCACTATAATTAGTACGCAAGATTTATGATTTAGCATGAAATATGATGCATACCATTTTTTTAATGTTTAGCACACCACCACTTTTGATATCAAACACAACTCGTTGACTCTATCTCACCTACCACAAAGTCTGTCACAATACATTCTCCAAGCATTCATCAAAACTGTCTATTTGACAAACAAGTCAACAACAGCTCTAAAATGTTTTACAACAGTACAGCACATACAGGAATAGACTAATACATATCTCTATTAAATAGAACACAGTGCCCAAAATTCTTTTGTCTAAACACTATGGCTTGCGGGCCGTTGCCTGCCTACGATTCGCTTTTAAGTCTAATTATATTATCAGCTAGAAAAGTACTTGTGGAGTTTCAAAACAGGCTTCATTCTTTAGTAGGTAATGATGTTCAAAAGGTTTAGCTTGCGGCCCAATGCTGGTTTTTTTTTTATTCCGTTTTAAGACTAATTAGATTATAAGCAAAGTACTTTATGAATTTTAAAATTTAGGCCTACATCTTTCTATAATTAGTAACGATGGGTATTTGTTGCTATCCTTCAGGCACATGAAGATTTCGAAAGAGAGGTGGAGATTATGGCGTCTTTCGACCACGATAATATTCTCAAACTGCTTGGTATTGTTGTACAAGGTAAACATCAGATTTATAATTCATATCAGCACAAAACTAAATACTTTAAGTCTTACAGGACGCATGGTAGTTCACTTATGCAGAGTACAGCACAGCATAATAAACTGTATATGAAATAATTTTAACCAAGAAAAGCACCTCATTTGGCACCCTGCTATATTTTTTAAACAAGCTTTATCTTTGAGTAAACGATAATGTTCTTATTATTATTGTTTGCGTATATTATAAACATGAATTGGCGTATGCTAATTAATCTATACGTATACACAACGTATTAACTAATATGGACAATATATGGTGTTTTGAAAAATATACATTTTAAATTCCATTTCAGTCTTGGAACTATCTAGCATTACAAATATGTTTATTTTGTTGTAATATCATTGTATGAACTCTACCAAGTTCCATTTCTCATGTTCCTCAGGAACTGGTGGAACACCATACATGATATTTGAGTACATGGACCACGGAGACCTCTCGGAACTGTTGAGGAAAAATGACCCCCATTTCCGGCCGCGACATAGCCGGGGTCTTATACTCAACAAGGTGGGTCGATCTAGATGTGTTTAGTTAACACATTGTTGTGCTGTTTTAATGGTGTTTGAAGGTGCAGATTGGAATAGTAGTTACCCTCATATATAGTATCAGCATTGATACAGTATTTGAGCATAATAAATGCATATATATATATATATATATATATATATATATATATATATATATATATATATATATATATATATATATATATATATATATATATATATACATATATACACTAATATATAAATATGAACACCTTCATAAATGATACGTAACATCATTAATTCGATTCCTAATTCACATTATTATGGAGGTAGGGAAACGTAAAAAGACAACCCAACATTATCTGTAAAGTAACACACATCCTTCCCGGAAACTTAGCGTAAATACACAGTAAAAAGTACATTTGCTGTAGATGAAAATATATTGTTAAACACTTTTTATCTAATCAAGCGACCTTGATATTAAATAAAATATAATTGCTAATGTTATCTAATTCTTTGCTAAACATATTATAAAGTCCGTACTTTATAAATTCTCTCCGAATGGTCGTCTTTGATGTGAAATATTGTTGCTAAACTGCTCGCGGCTCAGACAGCTACATTAAACAGACACTTCAACTTGGCCTTAATGGAATACAATTATCTAGGTTTAAGAGTGCGTTTTCTGTCAAGGCGAACCATTTACTCAGGCTCAACGGTATTTTTATGTGTAATGGTAAAGGTCTTTTTAAAAATTATTTTAAAAGTTCTCTGACATTGACATTGGGATAATTTGTTACAAAAGTCGATGACCCTTTGTTTAGTTCTTTGTTTAGTTTTTGTGAAAAAAAAAACATAGTACCTTTATCTTCACGGTTTTGAAAAATTAAATATATATCATAACATTATTTATATTTGGGTATAACATTTAGAAAAATACGTAACATTAAATAAGTAGGTCCTTTCTTTTAAAATCTGTGTAATTTGAAGGTATAAAGTCATTATACAGATTATCTTAAATAGTAGTGAAAACGTAAAAATTCTACGGAATGTGTCTAAAAGCGTTGAGAGAAATTCAAATCGAATGATAACATAATTCACACACCTTGCCAGTGATCGTTACATGGAATTTTCGCCGCTAATCACAACACGAGAAAAAACCGCGATTGATCCAAGCAAAATGAAACCTAACACACATCTGAACAAATTATTTTGGCATCCCTACACTAATTGTGACAATTATCGTTACACAGAATTGTCATATTCATGTCAAAAGTAATTGTATCATTTTTCCTACACTGAATTGTGACAATTATCACAATAAGAAATTTGAAAATCATCTCAAAGCAAAATTGTGACAATATTCCATACACATAGTTGTGACAATATTCCCTACACATAATTGTGGCAAATATTCAGACAATGAATTGTGACACTTATCACAATAAGAAATGTGACAATCATATCAACGCAGAATTGTGACAAAATCCCCTACATATAGTTGTGAAAATTATCCCAACACACAATTGTGACAATTATCCCAACATAGAATTGTGACAATCATCCCACACAGAATTGTGGCACTCATCCCAACAAAGAAATATGAGACTGATCCCAAAGAAGAATCTTGACTTTTATTCCATAAGATTCGATATTATTCATAACCCCCTCGCCAAGCCGGAAGATTTTATTTAAAAAAAAAAAATTCATACAAAACTCTGTGATGTATCATCTATAGCACATCCTTACAGAGACGTTTTACAAATGACAATGACCTTTTACAATCCTGCAAATGACCCTTAAAATAGGGACCTTATTTAACCCTGTTAATCAACTCTTTGGAAATCACGACAATGTTAAAATAGATATCATTGTATTCATCGCAACCCCTTCTTCCGTATTTCTCGCTCCCGATAAAATCCTTTCATGTTTCAACAATTCCATTCCAATTACAGCCTTCAGCGAATAACAAGAGCTAATTATCTTCTTCATGGAAAGCAGATAGCCACTAAACCGTATTTCACAACGAAAATTTTAATTAGATTTTAATGTTGACAAAATTAAAAGGGCTCTGTGTGTGCATGTTGAAAAATGAATTAAGGGCTGAAGCTCTAGCATTAGCGATTAAGATCAAATTACTTAGACAATAAAATTCAATAGGTAAATGTTTTAAATAACGGACGACGTAGCGGAGTGGTAGAGCGAATTATTGCTGACTAGAATCTCGTGAGTTCGAAACCGGGTTCAATATCTGTAAACTTCCCTGCGACCATACAGCTCTATTGGGTACTTGAATAATGTTAGAGAAAGAAAAGTCGGACGTGCATAGTGCTGACCACACTATTACTTTATATGCCGTGGTCAAATAAGTGAATTCTACTTCACCTACTCCAGAGACCGTCAAGTTTGAAAGATAATTTTTCCAAATATTAGAAACACTGATATATATATGTGTGTATATATATATATATATATATATATATATATATATATATATATATATATATATATATATATATATATATATATATGCAAAGGATTGCTAGAACTATTTAGAAGTTATTACTCAACAAAATGTCAGCGCCTTCATATCCTATCCGTTTTCTAGGTCATGTTGACATGCTAGGTCATTTACCTTCCAAATTCTGCCAGACTAAAAAAAAAAGAAAAACTTAAAATAAAAAACAAAGAGTTGGTTAAGATATTAAATTGCTTCGTTAGGGTGACACAGGCAGATAGAAAAAAACGTGTAGCCTCTTTTCTAGTGTTTCTGTCTTTTTTTTCTAAATAAGCATGATTTTTTTTTTCAATTTCTGTTGGCCTTTAACCAGGTCGTTATACTCAGATAGCGTTGATTTCACCTGCGGGGGAGGGGAGATGGTTTTCTGATTTTAGTTTTCTATTATAGTAGACTCATTGTCTGCTTCACTAAATTTATCTACACGCAACTTAAGCTCGATCATTAAGACACTATAGTTGTTTTGTTTTTCTTAATTTACGCTTTTTATTTTTAAATTATGAAGCCGTACGTAAGTAATTTGTTCTACATAAATGACACATAAAAGTAAAAAAAAAAATGTTTAAAAATGAAATATTGTATTAATTTTTGTTTCTAAACTTTTCTTATTTTCAGTTTTAAATTTATTTGCATTCTTGAAATCTCAGAAGCCCAAAATATCTAAATTTTGGCTCCATAATTATATAGTGGGCATAAAAAACATTTTTATAAAGTACTTTGTAAAAAAAATATATTGAATAGAATTACTCTTCATTTTTTCGAACAGTTTTTGTTTTTACATCATAAAAAAACCCTAAAATATTGTGTTTATTTTCAACTTATTTCATAATGCCTTGCATTTTTAAAATCTAAATATAAAAAAAAATCGAGAACCCCTAAAACGCAAGTCATACGTCAGTGTTAAATTAAGATTTTTAAAGTTCTTGCGTATCAAATACTTTATTAAAAAAAAAGGAAATTTAATAACGTGATTATAATTATAACCAAGCATAAATAGTGATTCAGCTGGTCTGATCAATATCGAAAATGTTCTATCCTTATGCTTAACGCTTATTCCCAATGGGGAATTTGATTAAACTTTGCTTTATATTATTTGTTTACATTGACATTTTCAATTTCTTTTTCCAATGTTTTTTTTTTCAATTTTCTTTTATACAAAAAATGAAGACCGCTTCGATATTTCATTTCTGTTATTTGGTTTTTTATTTAAATAAAAACATAAAATTATTGGCTAACGACTACTGGAAAATGGTTGACATGCTGTTCTATATTTAGACTGACCTAGTTGACGTCAGCGTGCAAATAGCCAGTGGGATGAGCTACCTGGCCGCTCAGAGGTTCGTTCACCGCGACCTGGCCACGAGGAACTGTCTGGTGGGCAATGGCCTGATTGTCAAGATCTCAGACTTCGGCATGTCACGGGATGTCTACACGAATGACTATTACAGGGTAGGTTATCAGATACGGAAGTAGAACCGTAACAGCTTGCATAGAGGAATTATCCCAACCACCTCCCTCTCTCCTGTCATTAAAAAGCACCACACACCCTACACATATGCAATAAGACATTGCCCTCTGTCAAATACCCTCCCCCGTGTCATTCATATATATATATATATATATATATATATATATATATATATATATATATATATATATATATATATTCAGAGTGAGATATAGAGAAAAAGAGCGAGAGCGAGATAGAAAGAATAGAGATAGAGATAGAGAGCGCTATTTAAATAATTAAGGATGATGTTAGGCTTAGGGTTACTTTAGAGATAAGTTAGCGATTGAAATACGGTTAGGTATAGATATATAGATAGGGATATAATTGGGAGTAGTTTTGTTTACAGGAATAGGGCCGTGCATGGGGTTGAAGAAAGAGTTAAGATTAGGACTCGGGTTAGAGTTGGGGATAGAAATAAGGAACTCGTTAAAGGGTTTGATGGAAATAGATTAGAGGTATAGTATGTATTCTAGAATGGGCGTTTGGGTGCTATTACCCTGGGGAGTGGGTAATTGATAGGAGCTAAACTATGATTGGTCTGATGATTTTCGAATAAGTGAGAATAATTAAAAAAGTGGGGGTGGGGAGTAGTGTTAATGTTCCATTAGAAACAGGTGATTTTTATTTGTCAACGTTGATCTAGGTAGGGGTAGGATGGGCATTTTATAAAGTTATTGATATAACAGCTCCGGCACAAATCCTAACATTAATCTTAGTCATATATCAACTTCTAGTAGTAACTGTACAGCTCTGACCCTAACTCTAGCCATTCACATTGGATTACGATTAATGTCAGTATTATTTTGAGACTTGAACTTTACATCTAGCTTAAGAAACGCAGCGTTCATACTATTCTGTTTAATACTTTTTTTGTATAGTATCATACGTTTGTAGTCACTTTATTTTCCACAATTTGACATTCTATACTCTTTTAGCTAGGTCTTTTATGTACAACTGAGGTGCAACAGTGTAAAGGTGACTAAAAATCATATAAAATCACTATGTCGGAACTTTAAAAAGAAAATATTAGTCTATGCTTTTTTATGTTAATCAGAAAAACCTGACATTGTTTTTACAGCACAATTTGTGAACATTGAAAACAGGGGTAGTAACTAATCCACATAAAAAGCATACTGATTAACTCCCTAGAAAAACAGGGGCAATAACTAGCCCACAGAAAACAGTGTCAATAACCAAGCCATTACTAAACCTTTCTTTAAAAAATAATAAATTAACAATAAAAGCAGGGTCAATAACAAATAAACATGAAAGACAGGGGCATTAACTAGGCTAAGAGAAAAACAAACTGTAACAAAACCCTGTTAGTCTTAGTCACGTAGTCACCTAAATGATTGATAGCCAACGAAAGATTTTCACTTGAGATGTGATAACTAGTCTTAAAAAAATCTCTGGCAGATTGAAAGTTTCATATTACTTAAGGAATGTGCTTGAAATTTAGGTTAGGGTTACTGATATGGTAAGAATATGACCAAGATTTGATTAGTAATAAAACAGATTGTGTTAATTACCTCACAAGTTAAAGACAGTTAGAAATACCATGGTCGTTTCGACCCAAGGTCTTCGTCAGCACACAACAGTGTGGTTACAGATTAGACAAAAAAAAGACAAACAGTAACACATTTTTTGACTTAGCTCGACAGTGAAAACACGTCTTGTCTACAAGTTACGATATCCAAAAGAAAAGACGCGTGACAAAGGTTGCTTGGACACCGTATAGGGGTGGGGTTGGGGGCGTAGTGTTTGGGGGAGGGGATGGGGGTAACATCAGTTATGGTTATTTTTTTAGTAGAAGAAAAAACAGAAACTCAATTTCGAATAAATCAAAGATTGTTTACTACATTTTACTTAATAATAGACGCCTCGTCACACATACAGTAAGGCCTGAATAGTTAAGAGTCGTAAGAGGTACTGATCTTCATAGCATTTGTTAGACGTGGAATCCGAAAGTATCGAGTTCGAATCCGGGTTCAAATCTGTAAAACATACCTGAGTTTACACAGCTCTTGTGGGTACCTAACTCACGTTCAGGAAAATAATCGCGACTGGGCATAGTGCTGACTACACTATCCATTCATATACCGAGGTCACAGAAACAGGTGAACTCTACTTCACTTGGCCAAAGAACGTTAATTTCGAAAGGGGAACTTTATTTAACCTTATTGATTAAGTGTCTTAAATACGTGTATCCATAAGGTTAAGTCAAGTTCAAAAGCATTACGTTATTTATGAATCCCCCCTTAATCTAACAGATAAAGTGTCTAAATAAGAAATACCAAATTAAGATAAAAACAGTATATAATTAACCTAAAGATTAATTAAATAAGCTAGTGGAAATGAAAAAAAAAACATGAATCAAGTCTCATGGACCGTCATATTTGAGAAGCGAACTTAATTGACACCATAACGTTCCGACCCACATATTATAAAAAATCAGTATTTTATTTTCGTCTTTTTTTCCTGAATGTTATACTATAACCCACAACACTTAATTTCACCTCATATAATGTCACTCTTTATTCGCCTCATACTTATTATCTCTTATTTTTCTCTCATACTTTCAAAAAGCCTTTTTCTGTTTCCTCTGCTGCACATTTATTATTATTTCTCTATCTTTTACTTTATGTATCCCAATCTGCCTCTCTCTCTCTCTCTCCCTCTCTCTCTCTTTCTCTCTCTTCATCTGTTTCAACACGAACTGTACCCCCCTCACCCTACTCTCTCCCTCATTTTCTCTCACCTCTTTTATCTGCTGATTTTCATCCCCCACACCATCACCCCCCCCCCCCTCAACTTCCAACAAATTTAAAAAAAAACGTTAGGTTCATTTCAACATATTCCTTTTCGCAACTCTCCAAAATCCCCAATTCAGGAATAAAATCGATACAAACATAATTCACTCACCCTTACCGCTGCTTGTGTATATTTATAGTATCCCGTCTGCATCTGATAACCCCCCATAAACACATTGTGACTTACTGACATTGTGTTTTTACTTTCTCGTATATACGTAGTATAGAGAAAGTATTGTAATCGTGCAAAAAAAAAAATCGAGATTTTTACAAATCTCGACGTTTTACACCTCACTGATACGGAAAAACATAATTTTGCAATCTTGTCCGTATGTCTGTGTGTCTGTGTGTGTGTGTGTGTCTGTGTGTGTGTGTGTAAACACGATAACTTGAGTACCGTTACAGCTAGGTTGATGAAATTTCATATATAAGTATTTTATCAAAATCGTAGATCCGTATCAACTTTTGAGCGATTTCCGATAACCGCAAGTGGTACTTTTTCTACTTTGAATTTTTCAAAAGCCTATAACTTGAGTACTATTTCAGATAGATAAATGAAATTTTACCTGTAAGTAAAAGATCTAATTCTCTACCTTCTGTTTTGAGTGATTTCCGTTGACGGGAAGTACTAATTTACGCTATTTCCGATTTCTCAAAAACGCATCTAAATTTATAAAGTACTAATAATATTGCGCACCATTATGAACATCTTTATTCGGCGTTCGCTTGGTGCGCAATACTTTTTTTCTATAAGATTCTATTCTATTTTAAAAAGTTTAAGTATTTAAAATGGATTAAAAATCATAACTAGATCTATATCCCGAGTTCCCACCCCCTGTTGTTTTATATAAGAATATTCGAGAAAGTTTAGGGGAGATCACTCCCGGTTTATTTTACACGTTTGCGGAACTATTTCGATGAAGGTACTATCTTCACAGAATGTGTTGGTTTGAGCGCCAGAATGTTAGACGTCGAATCCGAAAGTATCGAGTTCGAATCCGGATTCAAATCTCTAAAATTTCCCTGAGTTCACCCAACTTTTGTGGGTACCTAACTCACGTTATTAAAAGTAAAGAAGTAAATAATCCTCTTTAGACCTAGCAATCCAAAGGGAAGATGTAGTAGAGTTCATATGTTTCTTGACCTCGGCATATGACGGGGTTGTGTCGTCAGCACATTGTCAAGCCGACTTTACTTTAACTATTATGAGTTAGGTACCCATTAGAGCTGGGTGTACTCAGGGACAATCTACTGACATGGACCCGGATTCGAACTCGAGACCTTCGGGTTAGCAGCCAAGTGTTTACCTTTTTAACTAAATAATTATTTTTGTTACAATAGAGTTAGCGCAAAGATACAAATAATAATGAAGACTACTCTCTTTAACTCATTAAGTTGCTTATTCTTAACGAATAATGTGGCGGTGTTCGGATTTCCAATACAAATTGGTGACCGGCTATGGTGTCTAAGAAAGGACGTAAGGAAAAGGGAAAAAAAAACAATTTTTTAATGACGACATATGTTCCGAACCCGCAACTAAATAAATGGTAATGATTTCAAGATTTAGTATTTTGTATAAAGGGAAAAAACTGCCCTCCCTCCGAATCCATGCACTTACGATTATTCCCCTTTCTCGGTTAACAATATCCTGTTCTACGCATACATTTAAACCCATGATAATATCAAGCAAACTTCTATAAACGGTAATACTAACAGACGAACTTTAACATTTCTGATAAACAGATTATTTCACAATACTTCGTCTATTTCGACTAACCTATCGAACAACGTCAATGATATTTAAGAAATATCTTAATCTAAACCCGGAAATAATCCACTTTCGCTCTTCCGGTTTGCTTATATTTCCCGCTTTTAAAATCTAATACTTATTAAGTTCGTTTTTTTTGGGGGGTGGGGGTGTAAAAGCTTCTAGAAAAGAAATATTACGCAAGATAAAAATAAAATGTGACATTAATCTCTATTTTTATAACTCCTCCCCCCGCCCACGCGATTAAATTTCTGCTTCACTTCAGCTCGAGGAAATTATCAAAAGGCTTCAGCCCTCTGAAAATGAGATTTGATACATGAGATAATTTGCCATCAATGATAATTTTTTTGTGTGTTTTAAT